GGGGGGGGGGGGGGAGCTGCAGCGACCCGTTTAGTGGAGAAAGTGAATACTGCTGAATACACATACTTTACAGAGATGCTCTATGCGAAACCAATGTGAGTTTGGAAAATTGCACAGTATTTTTCTATTTTAGTATACCTCAACAATGGAATTATGATCAGTGGAAATGGCCATGACATGTGACCTTTAATTATGAAGTTATTACCCTATCCTATTAATCCAATGCAGAGGCAATAATGTAAAATAATAATACATTATTTTATATATATTATTGTATATTTGTATAGTCTTAAAGTTACAACCAGCCCTTTGAGTGCAACCATAATGCTGATGTGGCCCGCCATGAAATTTAGTTTGACACCTCTGCATTAGAGGTAATGAAGAAAAGGTATTTTTTAGGATTTAGTTAAACCGACCATTTAAACATTTCTTATGCCTACGTTTTGACGTTAATGCACATACTTTTGGTGTTGTGCTTTGCTCTGGTCAGGATTATGATACTTAGAAAGCCTAACATCATTACATAATCTTCCATAATATATATATATATATATATATGTCCACTTATAGTATTTAATACATGCATGTTGTCATAGTCTACTGTAAGGTATATAAAATACACATTATATATACCAACCTATGTTTGTGCAAATATAGTGATGTCACAATATTATCAACTGTATTGTTTCAGAAATAATTTCTATTGTGTCCAGCCTATATTGACTATAAAGCCACTAAACAACAACGACAAATACAGTCACCTAACTAGAATGCACTGTCAGAAAGCATACAACCACTACTGGCAAACATTCTATTGCAATCACAGTTTTACCTGACTTTGATGCTGATCTTTTATTTTCTCATTATAACCACCATTCTGTAGTCAATATTTGTGTACATTGGCTGTTTAGGGATTGTTGTTTTGAGAACTTTTAATTTTGTCTTTATGCAACGAATAGACACCGGCTAACCAAGCTAGCCATTATTGCACTAACTTAGCTGACAGAGAAGAGACCTCTTTTCTATAAATCCTGCCTAAATGAAAATATCCCCAAGACAGCTCGTCATATTAGCTTCAGACAATTGTAAGCTGTGTTGTTGTATTAACACTTACCTAGTGATATCTTCCATGAGCACAGACGGGTCTGGAGGGTAGAACTTGACAGAAAATCCAAAGCTCCAGGAACCAACTGCGGACCAGCAGAAAGGTTGTTTTGTAAAGAATTGCCATATGTGTGTGGATTTGTCTGACTGTGTGTGTGTTTGTTGCACTTACCCCGAATTTGCTTCTTAATCTCTTTAGAGGGATCCAGCCAATGCTGATGAAGAAAGAAAGAGACAATATCCTTTTTAAAAATGTCACCTTGGCAAAATCTTAAAACCCCATTCACACTTTTTAAGAGCGTTTTTAAGAACTTTACCTCACTGGCTGCTCTTCCCTCTTTTAATATGCTCCCTAGTTTAAAGCCAAATATAATAAGACTACCAGGCTTCTTAAAAACTGGAAGCATCAATATTAGGCACAATAAATGCCAGTTGAGTCCAGCTCCTATGCTGAATGTCACTAAAGCTTTCATGCTGCACTGTAGACCCAGTTTGCCATTTTTAAAAGGCCATACTGTCTAATCACATTTTAAAAGGTTAAAGGCCATGTATGCCACTCTCATGCCGCAAGTGGTTAAATATGGTTGAAAGGGCAACTGCGGACTCACTGCTTTATGGCATGTAGAAATATAGGATGACTAAATGGGAGGCTTGGCTGAAAGGCTCGTTGACATTTGCTCTGATATCAGTGACAAAATCCCCCAAAAAGGAAAAAAATCGAATAAAAGCAGCTTTAAAGAAACACGCTTTGTCAACTCATACATTTGGACTTGGACTATACAAAGCTTTATAACACAGAAGAACCTTAATGACCCCCTAACAACAATGAACACAGAACAGAAGAACTTCTAAAAAGAGGATTAGAACTGAAGTTCTCTGTTGCATTTAAGACAATGGTAAACATTAAAAAGGCGAGAGCTGCCAAGCGCTTGCAAATCCCTTTGGATCAAGTAACACATTGTTAACAAATACAAATGTACCACTTTTAACACAACTTTTAAATGTGCACCAACATTTTGTGCCAGATGACTATCCAGTAAACCCCAAATAAGAATTCGGAAGGCTTTGCTAGTAAACATGTCATTTGAGCTTCAAAGCCACAAAGAGCTACGAAGAATAATTGATTGGAAATATGACCACATGACAGATTTTATTTTATTTGATGAATCATTAAATAATATATAAATCTAGGCACATAACAAACACCCACTGCCTGTATTATGCACCTCATATTTTTTTGTTTGTGCGGTCTCTCATAAACCACATTTGGAATACTATTTGGACTTTTTCTCCAGCCGCTTCCAATGTCTAATTGATGCCCTATGTTTGGTTACATTGCAGTTTCCTTTGGTTTGAGCAGCAGATGTTCTTTTACAAATTATATAATGAAGATTACTCCCTGAAGTAAGATATCTTCATGCATGTGTGTGTTTCTTTGTGTCTGACCTTGGCGTTGTCGGTGTCCTGGAAATTCAGGCCAAAGTAGTCCCTCTCCAGCAGGTTCAGATGGCCACACACCATGTCCAGCAGGGTCTGGCCCTTGGCAAATTTCTGTTACACACACACACACACACACACACACACACACACACACACACACTACACTACACACACACACACTACACGACACACACACACACACACACACACACACACACACACACACACACACACACACACACACACACACACACACACACACACACACACACACACACTTCTACCACGTACGACACACACACACACACACTTCTAACCACGTACGACAC